CTTCTGGTAGCTACTAGCTATTACATGATGTTAATACTGTTCATCTGATCAAGTGTGATACATCATGCTTCTGGTAGCTACTAGCTATTACATGATGTTAATACTGTTCATCTGATCAAGTGTGATACATCATGCTTCTGGTAGCTACTAGCTATTACATGATGTTAATACTGTTCATCTGATCAAGTGTGATACATCATGCTTCTGGTAGCTACTAGCTATTACATGATGTTAATACTGTTCATCTGATCAAGTGTGATACATCATGCGTCTGGTAGCTACTAGCTATTACATGATGTTAATACTGTTCATCTGATCAAGTGTGATACATCATGCTTCTGGTAGCTACTAGCTATTACATGATGTTGATTCTTGTCTCTTTATCATCTCTAATATGTCACATTTATTGGTAACTAATAAAGATATGAGCTTTCCACATGTAATTTTGAGGATTTGGTTTAGACGAGAAGGTCTTAAGTGAAATCCTGATGCAAAGAGGAGAAAATAGTTAGGTTTAGAAAAAATATCAAAAGCCTGACTATGCTTATTGATTAATATTGATGACTTATCATTTGTGTAATGCATAATTTTATGTCAGTCAATTGTATATTTCCATGTGACCTAACTTTCTTGAGCCAATCAGAAATGATGAGGCCCATTTTCTTGACATAATGCTCCTGTAACGTAGGAGAGGTTGACCTCTTGAGTGATCAGTTTAAATGTAAAAGAGAAGCAAAGGTCACTACTTGTTGGTAGGTGATGAATTTCTTCTCTGTTGGAAATACAATTAAAATATATATCATGTTAAGATCATTCTCCAGTATATATCCTGTTAAGATCATTCTCCAGTATATACTATTAAGATCATTCTTCAGTATATATCTGTTAAGATCATTCTCCAGTATATATATCCTGTTAAGATCATTCTCCAGTATATATATATCCTGTTAAGATCATTCTTCAGTATATATCCTGTTAAGATCATTCTTCAGTATATATCCTGTTAAGATCATTCTTCAGTATATATCCTGTTAAGATCATTCTTCAGTATATATCATGTTAAGATCATTCTCCATTATATATATATATATATATCCCGTTAAGATCATTCTCCAGTGTATATATATCCTGTTAAGGTCATTCTCCAGTATATATCCCGTTGAGGTCATTCTCCAGTATATATATATATCCCGTTAAGATCTATCTCCATTATATATATATATATATATCCCGTTAAGATCATTCTCCAGTATACATCCTGTCAAGATCATTCTCCATGCATAGTTTGGAACATTATGAAATTCTAATTACCACCCTTCCACCTGCACCCCCTGTAAATGGGTGACATATTGTTTATAGAACATAACCCCAACCATGCTAGAAGGCAAGATAGATGAAGTGAAGATAGACATTATAGTATAACACAGTCACAAAGTAATACTTGAAAAGTATAATTTAGCTGACTCGTCTTAGTAACACCCAAAAACAGTTGTAAACATAAAACATTGTAATAAATAGGTTATTTTTATTCAAATTTATTTCAGTTTTTAATATTTATGAATACATTTTAGTGGTTTCAAATTTTGTTTGGATGTGACTCTGGATACATTACGACAATAAATGTTACCATATTTAATGTGTTACACCACATCTGGTGATACCAGTACATTTTACCAGATTAAATCCTTTAGATCACATCTGGTGATACCAGTACATTATACCATATTTAATGTGTTAGATCACAGCTGGTGATACCAATATATATTACCATATTTAATGTGTTAGATCATAGCTGGTAATACCAGTACATTTTACCTATATTTAATGTGTTAGATCATAGCTGGTGATACCAATATATATTACCATATTTAATGTGTTAGATCATAGCTGGTGATACCAGTACATTTTTACCATATTTAATGTGTTAGATCATAGCTGGTGATACCAGTACATTTTTACCATATTTAATGT